TGACTTCGTCACTATATACTCTATTACCTTCTACGCATTGACTGTTACTGAGATGTTTTTGTACCACTGGTGCTTTAAAAAGTTATCAATAAAAATTCACGGATCCGAGGTGCGGCGGTCGCACTCGCAAAATCGGCCCGGTCCCACACGGCCAAAAAAGCCAAAACGCGCGCGGTCGTCAATGTGTTAAAGAAGGAATTAAGTCAGACGCACGACTTGTGCGCTACAGCTTTTAGATTGATCATTTCTTATTCAAGAGACGGTACGCAACCACACAGCAACAACATCTCCTCATCAGGAATGTTACATCATGTGAGTAATTCTCAGTCCTTTGACATGTATTCTTTCTAGCCAGAGGGCCCTGCCACTTCAATTTTCTTGCATTTAGGCCGTTCATTTCTAAGCATTATTCTGGGTGATTTTTGGTTTTTTTTTTTTATTTTCATTATGTTTCATGTTGTTTGTTGTTACATGTTTCTTCTGATCTCGATTTTTGAAAACGTGACGTTCAACATGATATATTTTGTAGTGTAACTTCGTATATTTAACTATCTTGATTTTTTTATATTAGGTTGGAAGGAAAGTTCCTTAACACTTGTAGCTCAATTTTTGAATTTATTTTTTTTATTCTTTATTTATTCAATGATCCATAACATATTGACCATTAGATACAACAACACTACGCCAACCTTCGGGCATTTGGGTGACACCGCAGAAATTAGAAATTAGGAAGATTTTTGCCAAACAACCTTCTGGTGTCGGATTTGCGCTCGTTTACGTCGTCGAGCTTCCTGTTCTCCAGGTAATGAGCAAGCGAGCAGGAAAGGTTGAAGAGGTGTATAGATAGGTTTGACGAATATGGCAGACGGGCAGCCGCGGTCCTGCCTGGCTTCAGAGTCTTGTGGCTTGAGACCGAACACCCGCGACGTTGCGCGTTGTCGTGAAGCAGGTTGACTTGTCGCTATATTCGGCGAAGCTCTTCTGCAATCTTTTCGAGCAGCTAGCATTGTGAAGCCCTTGTACTCGTCAATCCTCCAGACAGATCATCACCCGTGGGAAATACCGTCAAACGTCAAAATGGGCAGTAGTCGTGTGTTGCGTCAGAAAGATCAAAGTCTTCGCTGCGGAGCGTTTAAACCAAGCCGAAACCGCCATGTGAGAGAACGTGCCCAGGCCTATCCCGGGACTGATCCTGACCACCTCTGGTGGGCAGATCTCTCTAGGCGGAGCTCTTACAGAATGAGCGCTCGGAGTGTCTGGCGGGAAAAGTTGATTTAGTGCCATGCAAACGCCATTATTGGGAAAGCTGATTTGATCACCGTACGTAGCACGGTCCACTCCTACTATATACCACCCATGGAAGATTCCAGAGCATTCGGGAGAAATCCAGAAAGAGCGCGAATTGAGTGTTAAGGAACTTTCCTTCCAACCTAATAGTACACTTTCAATTACACACTTTTTGCGATAGCTTGTTTAGCTGGACATCATTCGAATACTACGATTGGACCTATTCTACTGAATACAACGACCCTCTTTCTCTCGGGGGGAACACAAGCCAACGTACGTTGATTCATAAGATTTCTTTAAAAGGCAGTGAGTAAGATCATACCGTATCAATCAAGTATGATAGTAGTAGTAATTTACTAGTAAAAGTGTAGCAGAAGTAAAGCAGTGAGTAACTGCAGTATGAAATGCTGCCGCATTGGAGAGGAAACTAGAAATCCGTCGAAAAGATAGGGCCCCATCTTGTCAGTTTTTTTGGGCGAGTTTACCGCTTGGAAGTTGCAGTTTGACCACATGACACACCGATTGTCGGTATAACACACGAACACCAGATTACAAGATACGATTTTCATTTGACGGCTAGAAACTGACAGAACTACTAAACAGTGCAGGTGGCTAAGCGTTGAAAGCAGTGCCATAGCATAGTGAGGTTTGTCATGTTCACGAGGAAATGAGACAAAATGGCTTCGAACCTTGCAAATGAACCCTTTTATCTTCGTTCGATTTCCGCTCCAAACACGTCCGGCCAGAACTTGAACGTGCTATTCCCAATAGTTGGTCTTATGCCAACGCAGATGTACAGATCTTAGATCGGCAACGCAATACATAAGCAAACAAGAGGAGTAGACGTTTCACTCTCTCGGACCCGAATTTTTCTGTGTGGGATGAGATGTTTTTCTAGCTATTGTTTATTACTTGTGAGCTCATAAGCACATTATAGCGAAATTTTAAAGGAACTCGATCACAAACCGAGAAACTAAAGCGTTCAAAATTGGCCCACTTTCCTACACCAATGAATGGCAGGTTTAGCGTCATAATTAGAAAGGGGAAGGTTGACTGAAGCAACTTCTAGCAGGATTAGAAAAACCATGCTGTTTCAGCGGCAATGCAACGTGTTCGGGAATTTGATGGTGGCAATTGCCACCGCCAGGGCCGAAGGGGTTAAAATAACTCTTTTTTTTTGGAATGAAGAGCAAAATATGGTAATGATACTGTCAACATTTACCTAATCACCGAATGATTAATCCTTGGAGGCAGGCCTCGTCCCGACCATGTTGCCAGTGCTAGGGTTTCCTGGGTTGCGGTGAGTGCCGTTCCTTCGAATAGTAGGCATACAAGCCATCTTTCACATACCAGTTTATCATAATATGCCACTTAACCTGATTTTGAATGCCTTGTTTAGATGTACATCAGTTGAACACTACTACATCGCCTCAACCCTTGCACATAACGATATCTCCATCGAACACAACTCAACGTAGGTCATTCCATTAAAAATTCATAAATTCATCAAATACTTTCCCTTCCAATGAAATTTGACTTCTGAGGCTTGGGATATTTTCAACCAAGTTTAGATTTCGGGCAGCGTGTTGGGAAAGCGAAATGTAGGCAATAGCTCGAATGGTTATTGAGTTGAGGTTCTTGTTTGTGCCCTTGAGAGCTGCCGGTTCAACCTCTGCTGAGGCAACAATCATTTGAAAAAGGTTGCTAAATACTTCCATCACAAAGAAACATGTTCAAAAGTAGCACAAAAGCAGCGTGTTCTCAGTGCTAGTGCGGTACAAGGAAATGGCACGCAGAACCGCCGTCCGTTGTTAGAGGTACCGCCTGTGAAGGCTAGAGTGGACGATCACAGTCCCAGCCTGGGGGTTTCTCCGAATAGGGATTCCGAATGGGACATAGAACAGCTAGCTGGGAAGTTTTGAGTATTTGCCAGCTTCATGACAGCAGGAATATCTAACCATAAGTTCCATGTCTTTCAAAGACGCGGTGGAGAGGGCTGAGGCCAGAGAACTCAGGGAGGATACCAAACCATACTGCAGGGGAGGAAAAAAGGGTTCAAGGAATGGCTCACGTACTCACGATCGCGACAGAGCCCTTGAAGGATCACATCCGCTGTAATCAAGATCAGCGACTGAATCATGGCTGTGAGGATAGGCACAATGGAAATTGAGAGGGACGATTGTGCCTGATCCATAACGGTGCCATCAGGTCGATTTCGGGGACGATTCGCTCACCATAGGCACATAAGGAAGGTCGGAAGTGACGAAAGGGGCCCAAAGAGAGTCCGTGTAGCATTTTCTCAGCGAATGGGGAGACACGCACTCATCCAAAAGTAGTAATGAAGGGAGGCAGGAATCGATTCCCTTGTTCGTTACCAGGTTGTCCCTCGAAACTGTAGAGGACGTTAAGGTGCTGCTCGGGTGAAGAGCTGACTTCTCAGCAAAGCCGCTTCTGCAAGACATTATCATGGGCCTTTCTTAAGAAAACATAGAGGAGAACGGCGCAGAAATTTGTGATGGAGGCCGCAGCAAGTGAAAAAGGAGAGCTTGAAGGCGAAGTTACGATTTGAGTAAGGCCCAGCTCTGCCCATGAGAACTAAGGCAAAGGTGATTAGTGGGCATGAGAAATGGCCTGGTAGCAATATCCTGAGCAGTCTCAGGCGGGCCCATGTTTCGGTGTAAATCATCTTCAGAGGCTCTAAACCAACAAAACAATACACATTTTAGCCCCTTTGTACTAGCACCCTTTTTTCCTCCCCACACTTCCATGCTTCAGATGATCACTGTGGAGCAAACGAAGTATATTCTCAATGTGTGCCTCATTGCCAAACAACTTGTAGAGGAGTGGAAGAGGTTAGCATCACCACTTTCCTTTTCATGAATTCTCTAATTACAGATTTACTCTAAACTAATTTGGTGATAGGTATTGTGTACACTAATGCAACAATAGTAATAACAATCAGAATAAAGTGTTTAGTGCAGTGCTAGTCACGGCCCCACATGCACCTCAGGTTGTACCTGTAAGTCTGGTTACAGGCGCAATGGACGTGGAAAATGCGTGCTGCCAAGGCACTGCTATCTAGGTACGCTTTGCTACAAGTGTTGCTAATATAAGCTGAGAACAACATGTTTCTATTTACTTTTGAGTAAACCAATCCTATTGTTTAGCTCCTGGGTGTAAAAATAACGAGACATGGTCAAAATGTGCAACATGTGAACGGAAATGTGCTGACACAAATCAGGTACGCTTGTTCATGAATATCCTTGTATTCGACCAAGTTGGCATATACATTTACTTTGATGTTTGCGATCTCGGAAAATTCCAGAGTTTTGTTGAATAATTGATTTCGGCGTGAGTGTTGGGGAAGAGGGGGAAAAGGAATAGTAAGCGTTGACTGGATAGTATTTTTGGAATGAGTGTTTTTATTCTCATGGGTTGTGTGAACAATCTTACACCTCGGAATGAAAGCAGAAAGCCCTGCGTCTTTGACGCACAAGGCTAGATTGTGGCTGTGAGAGATGAATCATCTTATCATAAACATAACCAGGTTGGTGCCCGTCAAGCACCGGGACCTTCTTTCCATGCGTACGCTTTACGTCCTGGAATGAATTATCAAAATCTAATTGCACCCCTGCCGGGGATTGGTTTTCCGCCTACCTCCCCAAACACCCCCCCCCTTCACTGCCCTCCAGCTGCCACAGCAGCACCATGTGGAATGCACCGGAAAGTGACCTCAGTAGGTGTTTTAATATTTACAGATCCGGCTTTCATATTATGAATGATTTCTGAGGTGATGAAAAAATCGCGGCTGGGTTGAAGCACGCGCCAAGCGCGGATAACACCGCTACAATTTTTGTCTTGCTCCTATATTTTTATATTCCAGATCTGCACTATCTGCTATTCCGGATGTGCGTGTAACGAAGGATATGCTCGTAACTCGTCAAACCTCTGCACTCTCCGTTGATCATTGCAATTGAATGCATTTACTTGGTGGAAATTAATGAATCTGTTGGCACTGTGGAATTCTGTTCATAATTCACAATCAGGGATTTTCAGAGTTCAAAGCAGAGTTTACGGTAAGGACTGCGCATTGATAATAATGGCAGAGGTGATCGGTGATGGAGGTTAGTTGAGAAAAAAAAAAAGATGAAAAAACGGCAAGAAACCTTTGAAGTTGGGTCATTTGCCCTTTGAGGCGCAATGTTGCCTTCGGTAGGTTCAGTCTGGTCGAAGTGCTACTAAGGGACTTAAGCCTTAGGACAAATTCCGCGGCATGAAAACTGCTTACGCAGCTCGGATTCCATCATTTCTCCAAGGCTTAGCACCACAACTAAAAGTTTCCGTAAATCTGACGCAATGTTGAAGGCTGCCCCACCCCGGAGCCACATTGCACGCCCCTCGATATACGTTGTGAGGCCATTCTCATCGTGCTGAACTAATCAACGCTAACGCTCTCTATACAGCGGCAAGAGTCGGACGGCGAGTGTCAGCCATTCGATGGGAGTGCAACGGCGCGAGCGGGGCGCGTCGCGGCAAAGCCGCTGCGACACATTCTTCTCTGCAAATCATGCATTACCCCGCACCTTATGGCCCACCATCCCTTCCTCTAGGTACATTCCCCTTCTTCACCTTCAATCCTCTGAAACACTTGTATGTGGAAGTTTTAATAATTTAGACCATGAATTTTTTTCACTGCAGTTCTCATGTATTGTCTAAAACTTATTATGTTGAAATAAGTCTCATCCTCCAAAGTCAACGGGACTCTATATCCGGCTAAACCACAAAAGCTCCTCCGAGAATTTCTTGTCGCTGCTTCTAAGACGCACTATAGCAGGGTGAATAACGGTCGAGGAAATCCTCGACAGGGGGTCGTATTTGCTCCGATGAGAGTTGGGAGGGGGTCGTAATCAAAAGGGTCATCAACGGACACAACGGTGCTGCTGCCACTTATTTGCTGTCATCATTAGTATTAGCCTAATGCACAATAATATCTTACACCTGTTTGGAATTAAAATTCAAGTGGAAAGTGGGTGTTGGTTTGGTTCGTAGTGATCAGTGTGGCATAGGAAGGCAACGCGTCCTGCAAAAGAATCGTAGGGAAAGGGCAGCGAGTATCTACTCTAGAATGATGCACATGCTTCGAGAACTTAGTGGAGGAAACAGCATCTTGGTAGAAAGTTCAAAACAGGCAGATTCGCAGCCTTCTTGGCATCATCAGATAATGCAACCGCAAGCGTGTCATTCATCAGAACGGGTTGGAAAGGAATAAATAATGAATAAAGGAATGATCAGACATCACTATGACCACAAGAGTTATCCTTAATTAGTAATGGAAATATCTTTTGGTGTGCTTAAGCAAGTCGTCACTAGGACAAAACACCTTCCCAATGACTCCGAGTGGGGTCACTGCATGGCGCATACAAGAACGGAATGGATCTGCGCCAAGTGCATCATTTTCAATTTACTCCATCGAACTGACGTGTACAGAAGTATTTTGAAGGTGTTCAAAGAAGTCCCCTACTACGGCGAGGGAGTAATAGAGTTTTCGAGTGGCTTCGAAAATTTCCTTGACATTTCCTCGACGCAGATTTCTCGCGAACTAGAAAGCGTTCGGAACAAACGGAGCACCTGTTAGAAAGCGTGAATCTTCTACTTTACAACGCTTTCGTCGGATTTCCAAAGCATTGCCAATGAAGACAGCTACTGTCTTCCTAAGAGTGGGAACTCGCATGTAAATTTCAATTTCCTCGACAATTTCTCGACGTCTCCCACTCTCGAGAATAGGTGTGCTTAGAAAAACGCTCAGCACAATTTAGAAACTAGAAGTCTTGTGCATTCAAAAACTGCCTTCACTTTTTGAAATGGTTATCAATGAAGAAAGTTATAGTCCTTTAAAATAGGGGGTACATTTGACGATTTTTCCAACTAGCGCGCTCTAGGCACAGCGCGCGACGCGATCGCGGGTAGTTAGCGCCGCTATACTGGAGCGCGAGACTGTTCAACTGTGTAGGGGCAGTACCTCCTTCAATGTTCTACTTTCCGGCCAATGTGGCAAAGGTAAATGTCTTTAAAGGAAAGAAGGAGAACCTAATCTGAGCAGAATTGAATCTAGCATTTGGATCAAGCCGCATTTGCGTGGCAGTGGCGCTGCGTCCCTCTCGCACATCTGAAACTAGCATTTTTTGATATGAAACCGGATGTGCAGAGGACAAAAAGGGGTCGTATCAGAGTCCATGTTTTGGAGGGGGGTCGTAAAGAGGCGGTTATTTCCTCGACACGATTTTCACCCTGCTCCACATATTGGACTGTAAAGTAAGCTGTACTTCACGGTCTTCCTCAGGTGATTCCTTAGATTCTTAGGAAGCTCTCAGCTAAACAGCTTGAATGAATATTGTAAAAAGCACCAGTTTATTTGACTCAACAGCACGCGGTTGACAATGATTCCGTTGGCTAACGTCTTCGGCGATTTCGCCTTCTTCGGAGCCTAAAAAGTGGAAACCAATTCACGATTTATTCGACCAAATGTCTATACCTACCCTACGAGATCTTCGAGACCAGCTAAACCATCACATAATTAATAGGCAGATAAGTACCGTACCTTCACCGATTTCAGCGGAATCGGCTCACAGAACGACCAGATATGCGGGATATCCGTAATCAGAGTTTTCCGGTTTGGAAGGTAACACTTATATAAGTGGGTTAGTTTCGCGTTGATTGACACCACTTCTCCCCTTACGGTTGTAGAAGAAATTGTAAAGCGTTACACAGGCAAAAGAAAAGCAACTGAAGTTTGAGTTCATCAAACGCGCGAAAAAGATCGGTGGAGGTGCACTCGTCGTTGCGTCTCCACTTATATAGCGAATCTGACGTAGAAGTACTACGACGGTTATAACCAAGAAGTTTTCATTAGCTAAACACTTTAAAATGGTTGCATTTGCCAGTGAGACGGCATGCCTCAGGGATCGAAAATTATTGTAAATATGATGCCGAGCCAACTTTGGCGACTTAATGTTGCTCAAAGAATGACGGGCTGATTCGCGCGATTCGAATGTAGCGATCTATTGTGTGTGGTTGATAATGAAGTACTGAAGCTGATGGCCTGCACAAAGCAATACAGCTGAGCTTCTTTGAAAAAGCTTTTCATAAAAAGCATGACTTTTAAATTGATGTTAATGGGGCAAAAGTCCATGTCTGTTTTGGAAATCATTGCCCTTTTTTTCTTTTGAAAAAGTGTTGAAAACAGGTATTTACTATTGCGTTCTAACAAGGGGGTCTTTCGATATATGGAGCGCTTTCGAAATTGTTTCCTGCATTTGTAGAGGCTCGTACGAGGAAAACAGAACCGTAGTCCATTTTTTCTGAACGCCCCCAGGAATGTCAACTTTTTGCAATTTATGTTGGCGCCTCCAAATTGCCGCAAACACGACAATGACATCTATTCTCGACGATGGCGCCATTTGGCGGCAATCTGGGGCGCCAAACTATATTGCAAAAATTAGTCATCACCGGGGATCGAACTCTGGACCATTTCTTCACCACTGTTTTGACATTAGGCGTTCAGGAAAAAAATCATGGTTCTGTGTTCCTCGCATGAGCCCCTACAACATGCAGAAAACCATTTCGAAAAAGCGCTCCATGTCCTGAAAGAACCCCTTTGTAAGTTATGATTAAAACACTGCTACAATTGGCAGTCGTTTACTGACTCATCTGTTTGGAAAAAGAGCCACAAATATTTGGTCACCATATTTATGCCCCTTCTTCTTGTATACACTGAGTCTCGAAATGGTGGCACTCTCTGACTAAGGAGACCGTTGACCATTCTCTTTGTTTACATTTGTGAACGATCGATTGAATTGAAATAAACATCGGCTCACAATGCTGTCCGAATATGATACTGTTGCAGTGAGGTGTAATCCGAGACTTTTACTTTTTGCACGGTACTGTAAATCAAGGCGTTGGGTGAAGAATATGTTCTCATTTCCTAGAACATGGTTTATTCCAGAAGAACTTTTGTTGTAAAGCTGGCAAAGTGGCCCTAGTGGCCTGTTCGGAAAGTTTCCGCCGTTTTTCGTGGCCCACTTCTGAACGCTTCATTCCTGAAACTTTTGAGATACCGCACCACTTTTTAGAGTACTGGATAGATGAAGTTCTTAAAAGCACCTCCGCTCTGTCTAACTGTGTTGTTACCTTAACACTGCCACACAATTTTCCCCCCTTTTTTTGAAGTCCTAAAACATACTGGCTTCGACAGGCTATTGTGCCCGAGTTTCTTGTTTCCCCTCGAATTTGGTCGAAGGAGTGTTGAAGCAAGCCGGGATTTCATCTGGGTTTTTGCCCTCGAATCCATAAAAGTTACGCTGCGCGTTCGTGATTTGAGAGGCTTTTTCACTATAACGGAAGCTTCGAAGATGATTACGGTAAAGGTCGAATATCGGAGACCGACAAATTGCTGAGGATTTTGATCAAACCGAAAATGTATGGAATTGTTGAGCGAGCCAATACCCGAAACAAGCATAATCGAAATGAGGTCCCCAAGTTTGGTGGGGATAAAATGTTCAAAGAAGCCGACAAGTGGTTTCCATCTACTCTTCTCCCAACAGTTGCGCGCAGCCCCATCTCACACTTCCGCCGTGCACAGGTTGAACTAGCTAAGCTACAAAATTGTGCTGCGAACATCTTGACACACGGACCTTTTTCAACTGCCACTTTTCCAGGCACCCGGATGACCTTTTCAAAGAGATCAAACATTGAATTCCAGATGATAGGTGAAACGACCATAGCCAACTTCCTTCGCCTACAGAACTCCAGCATTTTCAACATCCAAACCAATTGAACACTCTTCTTGTAGGCAAATGTATAGGGATTGTAATAGCTTTTTCGATCGAAAATGCATTGTTTTAACTGTGATATGCGCTTTGAAAATCGGCGAAAACTTTCAGAGATAACCCAGCTTTTGGGTTGCAC